CCAAGGTATTTTATGTTGTTTGTGGCAATTGTAAAGGGTGATGCTTCTCTGATTTCTTTTTCCACCAATGTGTCATCCATATATAGTAGGGCTACAGATTATTTTGAGTTAATCCTGTATCCTGCCACTTTGCTGAAGGTGTTTATGAGCTGTAGGAGTTCCCTGGTTGAGTTTTTCGGGTGACTTATGTAGACTATCATATCATCTGCAATTAGTGAGAGTTTGACTTCTTCCTTTCCGATTTGTATTCCCTTGATCTCCTTTTGTTGTCTTATTGCTCTAGCTAGAACTTCAAGGACCAAGAGATACATTTTGGAAGGGATAAAAGATATGCATGATCAGTTTGTGATATACTCCTAACATTTTCATTTAAGACAGAGGAAATTGGACAGAGGAAATTGGATTTATATTTGTATGAGGGTAAGCAAATTTGGTAATAGAGAAGTATAAGGTTAATCAAATCTAGAAAAATTGTCCTTTATTGAGAATCTATTTGACAATCAAAATTTTAATAATGCTACATACCATATGGTATGTAATTTGGGTCTCTTTGGAAAGATAGAAATTAGTAATGGGAAGATTAATTTGTATTTGTTTAGACTTCATGTTTTCTAGCAGTTTAAGACTTGCAGACTCCCATAATATCCATGTCCATCTTCTCCTCATACTTATGCCATACACTGCAATGACACATCTGTTATTATTCATGCTCTGGTACTGGGAGATAAACTACAGCCCATACCTTTTTCTTTGAGCTTTCCTTCACTTTTGACTAATGCCCTTTAACTTTATTCCAGGACCCTATCCAGGATGATTTGCAACATTTGGTGGTGAAGTCTGCTTAGATTCTCTTTGACTGACATGTTTCCCTAGAACTTTTGTTGATGACTTTGATAGGAGTACTAGTTAGGTGTTTTTAGGATATCTATTTCTCAGAACTTGTCTGATTTTTTTTATCATGATTAGACTTGGGCTATTGGTATGAGGAGCTCTTGGTCCCCAGACTGATCACTGGGAAACCATCATGGGACTGATCCAGACCCCATGAGTGTGGGTGTCAGTGAGGAGGCCTCGGAAATAAATGGGACCTCTTGTAGTAAATCAGTACTTATCCCTAGCATAGGAATGGACTTTGGTATCCCATTTTAAAAGAGGAAACAAATAGTTTCTATTATAGACAACTTCAGAGTTTAACTTTCTGGTTTTGTGGCAGGGGCATGTTGGCCACCTTCACTTGGAAAATCTTGAATCCTTTGTGGTATGTTGGGTATAACATGCATATGTCGAGTGTTCCCTGAATCCAGTTGCTGATTTTCCACTTGTATCACCATTTCTGCTTCTTCCTTACATGGTCTAATGATATTTCTTTCGGTTGTGATTTTTTCCCAGATATCTCAGTCAGCCTGTTGGCAGTTGTCGTGAGCTTCTGCGGCCTAGCCTTGTTGGTTGTCTCCCTTTTCGTCTTCTGGAAGTTGTGCTGGCCGTGCTGGAAGAGCAAGCTTGTGGCTCCCAATGTCAGTGCCCTTCCACAGAGCATTTCAAGTGCTCCAACTGAAGTTTTTGAGACTGAAGAGAAAAAAGAAGCTGAAGAAAATGAAAGGCCAGCACCAAAAGCTGTTGAGCCTGCAATAAAAATCAGCCACACTTCCCCCGATATCCCGGCAGAAGTACAGACCGCTTTAAAGGAGCACTTAATTAAACATGCGCGTGTGCAAAGACAGACCACTGAGCCCACATCTTCATCCCGGTAAGGACGGGCTGTGCTTGTGATCCCATGGGTGTGATTTCAGAAGAGAACAGGAAAGAAACAAGAAAAATCAACAGTAAGAATAGGGTGAACTCCCATAGCTCTGCCTATTCCCATCCCCACCTGCTACCCCCCTTTAGTTCCCCGCCCCACTGCAGCCCCCAGTTTACCCAGGAGAGCTCATCTCCTTCCCTGGATGACCCATGTGGAGAGAGAGGAGGTATTATATGAGCAAGGGTTGTCAAGGTTATGACCAGGGAAATCCACAGAGATTGACCTGAACTTGTGGGAGCTCACTGACTCTAGACCTACAGCTGGGGAGCCTGCATGGGACTGAACCAGGGCCTTTGCAGGTGGGTGACAGTTTTGTAGCCTGGTCTGTTTGTGGGACCCCTGGCAGTGGGACCAGGATCTACCCCTAGTGTGTGAGCTGGCTTTTTGAAGCCCATCCCATATGGTGGGATTCCTTGCTCAGCCTTGATGGGGGGGTGGGGGCAGGTTTGGGGGGGGACTT